AAAGTTGTCCTAAAACCTAAAACCAAAATGCGTTCTCGTCTTAGGACAACTTTGATGAACTTTTTTGATCCACTTCAAATGTTGACTACTGTATTTTAAATATATTTTTAAAATCATGCAGGTTTGGAACGACGTGAGGGTGAGAAACTGATTTTTGAAAAAAAAAATATATATATATTTTTGGGTGAAGTACATAAGTTCTGTTTAAATTTCATGTTGACTTTTAACTTCAACCTGCAGTGCATTAAAGCTTTTTAGATGACAAGTTTGGGGGTTATAATGTTTTAAGATGTCAAATAAGCAATTCACACATTTTTAGAAGTCAGAAGCCAGTTTGAATAGCGTATTAAGACATTCACTGCATTATTGTGAACTCTTTTAAGGATTGTGACAAGGTTAAAACTTGAGCTGTAATTTCATTGTTTGTTGCCAAGTGTTGTTATCAAGCTGTCATTTTTTTTTCTGTGACTTCTGTTCTCGAATGTATTTTAGCTTTGGATTCTTTGCTTCATGTCAATCAGTGGCTTTCACAGTTTAGAGAGTTTGCATGGAGAACAGTCACAGATATTCTGAACACCATCATCATTGGAGAATTATAGTTTAGAAAAAATTCAAAAAGAAACTGACACGAAAGTGTGTTTTAACAATCTATTTAGAAACAGAACCAAAGCATAAACAATAAAAAAATGAATTGAATTCAAAAGTCACAGTTTAAGGGCATCCAGGACAGTATTAAAAATAAAAATAGTTGATATTGTCGCGTAAATAAAAAAAAATACAGAAAAACATACAAGCCTATTTTTTAATGAGATACACAATACATAAATATCTCACAATACCTCTGTTTTCCATTCAGGTTCTTAAACGTATAAAAAGCAGAGCTAAAACCACAAGTTCAACTTTTAATACATGACGGTGTATATATAAGTTTCTCTAATGCAAGTAGAGAAACAGCTCACCAATTATAATTGAATATTTTTTTACATCTCCCTACTGGTGGAATTATTTAGGAGCAGTCCAAGATATTGAGCAGTAACGTCAAAAAACTGTGGCCAAATGAGTTTTTATGGTTTTGTTTACTTGTCATATTCCCAAACAACATGTGACCGCAGATTTAATATTCCCTGGGTGTGATTTTTTTTCACCTTAAAGTTCTGTCGTTATTTAACCATACTGAAATCAGCTAAATATAGCCAAACCACATGCTGGAAGATTTATGTCACATAGAGCGGTGAGAACACATTCTAGGTTATAGTTGAGAGTGTGTTGTTTGCTATAAGAGTGTTGTTGTGTTATGTGTTTAATATCATTATATACCTTTAGACCAAAGCCGTCCCTAGAGTGTTCTCAGTGGCACTTGTACAACAACCTGTCTTGTGATTTACACATGTGACCGCAGATTTAATATTCCCTGGGTGTGACATGATTTGCAAAAATGTCTTCTGCCACAAGTAGTTCTCTACTCTTGAAGCACTTTAAGGAGTTAGTCAATGTTCAAAGACTGTCCAGCTGAATGTGATGGTTTGATCGTATTGTAATGGCCAAATTGCATGGTGTGTGCACGTCTTTGTAAGCTTCTATGTTCATGATGTTTTGTGTGAACCTGTGATTAATCTGTGGTCTGTTTTCAATAAACCACTTACTTAACCATTTATTCAGTGATTTTTCGTCTGAAGTTACAGAAATAATTGAACAATAAATGGATGATCTCATAATATCCTGTTCCGGAAAGAACAAAGAAATGTTTTAGGACCATTAAAGTTTTATTACAACTTATATAAATTTAAATTTGTGTTTATTTTTAAAGCACTTTTCTTCCCAAATTGTTGCTATAGTGTGAAAAAAAATCTCATTCTACGTACTTCAATGCAAAAATTTCCCTGCTTTTACATTTTAAAAAAATACTGTTTACAGTATTTAATATAGTAGTGGAAATAAGAATTCAAAATTAGAATAGAGTTTTTGAAAAACTAAGAATTTGGGGGGAAATGTGCTTAAATGTTTAAAAAAAAAAAAAAAGCAAAAATTCTTGGTATAAAACAATACGTTTTTTTTCTTTAAAATGTAGGCGAAATATGACCCGGATGTGTTTTTGCGCTATTCAACCAAACACACAATATCCATAATTCATTTGTTTGTTTTTGATTAAATTTGAACAGTTCCCTGTCGCAGAGAATTTGTGCTTTAAAGCTGTTCTCCATTCCCTGAATAGCAACACAATCTCTACATTGACATTTTCGTAAAATACACATTTGAGTTCAGTTCAATGTAACATGACATGCAGTTCATGCTGTGTGTGCTTTTGGAGCATTTTTAGGAGAGTACATGATGGTAGATTTTGGAAGAGACTGGTCTGTGGATGGATCAGAGGTCATTATTCTCATATGTGAGGGCCTGAACAACTGCAAACTATGAGAAGTTTTGCTCACAGCACAACGTGTTCTACATATCTTGGTGCTGCAGACGGACCTGTGAGTGCTGCTTTGTTATGCTGATTCTTCATTACCGATGGTTCTGTTGGTAGACTTCAAGCCCCTCATTTCCCAGGGTGCTTTGGCAGTAGAGTCGACCGTGCTATGATTTCAGCTCTGTTGGCCGGCTTCATTAAGCGAGCATAGAGACAAACGATGCTGGAAATAAGCCCGTTCTGTCTGGCTGTCCCTCGATGTAGCCGTGCTGAAAGAGAGATATTACTGGCTCTGGTTAAAGTCATCAAAAAGAAGGATGTTAAATTCAATTAAATGAAGGGGCGGAAATAAAAAGGGAAGTAATGTTATGAACAAGGGCTGTGCGTCCTTAATGAAAAGGGAATGATGCGAACACAAAAGATGTGGGACGTGTGAGGATGTTTAAAATAAGATGTAAATCTGGATCCATTTCACTTGAAAAGCTCTTTCCTGCATGCCAGGTTTTTCTCTGTGAATCTACATTTTTATTCTTTTGATGGGCCATCCAGGCTATTTTTCCTGTAGAAGAATCTGCAGGATATTAGACAAGCCCCATGGAGACGTATGGGCGGCTCACTGACTCCGATACGGAGGCAGAGCAGAATAAAACATGGACCCTGAGAGCTTTGCTCTGATCAGTTCCATCTGCTCCCATGGGATCAAACGATTCATCTGCGCACACACAGCATGAGTCTGTCAAAGGCTAACAAGAACCCTGCAGCTTCCTCATAAGAACCATCTTTAACCGTAACAAGGAATTTGAGTCATTTATGCCAACGGTACTTTAAAGAGCCAAAAACTATTGAAAATAAAGTGTGAAATAAAAAATGTACTATATTTAGTGGCCTGTCAAACAAGGAAGCACTAGAGAATAAGCATTTTTATGCCATGGATTCCCTCAGGATTTCCCTTTTTTTAATAATGGTTTTGAATTTAAGAGTAAAAAAAGATACATATGCTCAACAGCATAAATTAAAAAGTTGCTTAAGTGAATTTTAAAACCCCTGTTTAAACATAAACCTAAAAAATAGATTGTTAACATTCTTATCTGTGTTGTTATGGTGAACCAAAACATAAAACGTTTATCTTTTTCAGTAATTGAAATAAAGCTTATAAAAAAGTAAATCATTCAAATATAAATATAAAATAAAACTGAAATAAAAATAAATGAAAGCTATATAGGTATAAATATTTAAACACTAAATCTAATAAAAATGACAAAAGTAGATAACAAAATTACTAACAAGCTCAAATTAAAATGAAAACTAAAAACATACCATTCTAAATATGAATAAATACTATAGTATTACATAATGCTAAAATAACACTGATTCTTCTGTTTTTCATTTAAAAAGCACAGAACGGTTTTAAAACCTCTGAGGTATGACAATGTAATTTATGTACAAAATGGTAAAGTTTCTAATAATAATTTTACCAACACAGCTTTTTTTCCTCATACATCAAATACTAATAATATATCAGACATTCCCAAAGGGACCCATGGCAAATTAGCTGTCCAGCTTGGCCGTAAAACTAATGTCATGACGTAACAATTCTGCTTTTACATGGCTCTCTGGAATGCTTGAAACTGATTGGTCAATCTCATCATTCTGCTAATTTTTTCATAGAATGGCTACTAAACTGTACAATTGACCGTCCCCCCAGGACATGAATTTTCTAGATTCATGTCTCTCAATCTCTCTTTAAAACTGATCTCAAATGAACTGTTCTTTCATTCTTATACTCACCCACCAATCAGCATCCTCCTCTCCGAGCACCACCAGAACCTCACCCTCATTGAAGGTGAGCTCATCGTGATGATCCGCCACACAGTCATACATGGCTTTAACACGCTTCAGCTTCGACTTCATCTGAACACAAAAACAAAAACAAGAAATTGCAAAAACTATCATATGGCTTCTAAGTAATATAGGTTTTTGAATAATTTGTTATGGGAAACCACAAGTATGAGGAACATGTCAAGGAACGCCTGCATCACTCGATGTCTTTCCAACAGCCAAAGACAAACTAAACTAAATAACATTCCTCCAGCTCAGACCAGCATTAATTCCCAGGTGGATACAAACTGGTTTAAGCTGGTTTGCTGCTGGTAAATTGATTGATGTAAAACAGCTGGGAAAGGTGAAGTTAGAAGCAAAACACACAATGAGTGTGGATCATGTGACACAAAAGACTGGAGTAACAGGTGCTTAGAAAACAATAAAACATTGTAACACGGTGTGCATAAGAGACTATGACAAAAACATTCAAATAATGTACTGACCCAAATTGCTTTATACCCAAGTGAAGTATATATTTTGATTTCTCCTTCAGAAGAAACATCTGAGAACATTAAAACTCCTGAGCTATGAAAGAACAATGTGTGAGCAATATGATATTCATCTCTCTAGTTCATGCACTGCTCATG